AGAGATGCCACGATTTCATCCACTCGCTCGTCGAAAAGAACCAGGACAAATGAGATACCCTCGATCGTGTGGGATACAAGTTGGACCAAAGAATGGAGGGCGCGGTGCTCCGCCTGCAGGGCAGTTTCCTCCTGTTTCGTGGACACCCGCGTCAAAGCTTCAGGCCCGCTCAATCCTTCGATGAAGCTCTTGTTCGATTTGAAGAACTCCTGCAGAGCCAGAAGATCCCTCTGCACCGCCTGCAATTTGGAAGCAGAAACGGAAGATGCGACCGTCTGAGCACCGTTGGGGGCAATGCCAGCCTTCGCAATCTCCTTCTTCCAGATCGACCGCAACAGCCTAGAGATGTAGAGAGCAATGCCTGCATGACGCGGGGACGGAACGACTGCGTCAATAGCGAGCGTGGTGCTATCGGCGACGGCATTCTCATTCATCGTCGGTCGGCCACCGTACTCGATGAAGACCTTGCGCGCAAACTCCAGGACATCGGGGTCATTGATTTGCGTTAGTCGTGAATCAGAGGAGATCTCAACACCCTGACCGCAAGCGACTGCAAGAGCGGTGGCAAGCGTTTCGCTCCGGCCATAGGTGCGAATGAAGTTCTTGACTTCGCCCTCCAATCCCTCGTCGCCGGTACCACCACTACGCACCAACGCCGCGAAGACATCAACAAGACGCCTTCTCCGAATAACGTGGATGCCAGTGTTGGTCAGAATGGCGATCTCAGCCGCCGGATTATCAAACTGCACGGCCAGTTCGTTTCCGAATCCTCCAGGAGTGCTCGTGGCTGGGGTAGTAGGAGAGCAGAGACCCACGTCTTCAGCCCTGCTGCCCAAAGAGAGCCAGACAGCAGTTTCACCAGCCTTTCCAGGAATAACGCTCTCCTGAGAGCGAGCAACGCGCCCCGAATCCGGAGCCGAAATGAAGAGTGTGTCCGACTTGTTCGTGGAGTCCTTACATGTAAAGCAAAGGAAATAACCTGGAGGGTATCGAACAGTGAATCTGGTAGGCTGCAGGGTGTTGATCGGCACTCTGGCCGTGATTGTGGTTTGGAAACGCGGTTGGTTTTGGAGGCTCGGAGGGAGTTGTGCAGCGGAAGCACCGTCATACGGCGGCGTCTTGACATGATGGGCCTGCATACTTGTAGGTGCGTTGGTGCCGTTTGGTGCAGAAGACCAGGTGAAGGAGCCGGTAGCGCTAAGATAAATGCGATAGCCTGTTGCAGTTGTGGCCATCAAATGGTACCTAGAGGCCTCGGCGGCTGGGATGGGACTGATGGAAACAATGGGAACTTTGGGGTTAAGGGTCTCATTAGACGCGATAATGTGTCCGATATTGGCATAGATGTCGAGGGCTGGCTTCGTGATCACCAAAGCAAGGCTGCCATCTGGCTTCATGTGGAAGACGCGAATGGTGGAGGAAGATGATAGCGTGTACAGTAGCTTTCTTGTGTCGTCGATTTCCATCTGCTCCACATTTTCGAATGACTTTTGCGTAAAGCTCAGGCTCGGCGTGAATGCAGATAGACGAGAGCTAGTGTGATTGACCTTCGAGCAACGACCTTGGAACCATTTCTCCTCCTGCTGATAGATGAGTTCGTAAACGTCATTGTCCGAAGTGCCACCGAAGAAGACGCGACCGGTCGAGTCCGAGGAGGCGATGACATGGATATCCAAGCCACGAATGGACGTTGACATGCCCGTCTGGTATAATGTGACTTGCCGCGCGCCTCCACCCGTAGTCTCACAACCCATACCAAGCAAAATGACGTCTGCCGTTGTCGATACTACGAGGATGTGCGTGATTGAAGGCAAGAACACACCAGCTCGGGGTTTCGCCAGCTTGACCGTGTTGATGCTGTTCGGTTGGTCTTCAAAACCAACTAACTGAGGGTTAGGATGCGTATAATCCCAGATGTAGAGTGCATTGTCAATGGCAACCCAGGCGTGGTTCAACTCGGCGAAGAGTCCCATGCTTGTCGACACCTGCGCTCGATTGTATTGGTCGAAGATCTGATCTGGGATGTTGTACATCTTCACTTTCTGAAAGGGAGCCCATGATGGTGAGGCGGGTATATCGTAGTCAGACGAGATACCTTCTACACAAGAGTGTTAGATCTGATCCCCCTCGTCACGACGGACGGGGGCATACTCACGGGAGAGATAGCTATCCAAGTCAGGATAACGGGCTTCTTGAACAAGAGTGTCGTTAACTGTTCCTGCAGCACGTTCCTCTGTGCTCAAGGCCTGAGTCTTGGGCTTGAACGTGGCTGGGGGGAGTCTGGGAAGCGCAACCGGTGAAGCTGAATGTTGCTCCGCGGGGGCCGCGACAGACTTTGGCGAGAAACTAGGCGCGGCCGCAGCCACGGTGGGTGCAGGAGTCTGAAAGTAAGCACCGGGTAAGGGCTTTTGAGGGGTGAGGCTCGGCGTGAGGTCTGGATAAGACATGATGCCGGTTGAGAAGCCCGTGGGAAGCTTTGGCGATTCGTCGCGCTCCCCGGCGAGGTGAAGATTCGGTCGGCGCAAGGGCGCGAAGAGGACGATCAATTCACGATGGTATCGAGAGGGCGGAGGGAAGAGACGGAGGACGGGAAGGTCTGAGAAAGCAACATCAATGAACAGAGGCGGGAACAGCCGGAGTGGTTGAGGGCGAGTTGTTGATCAGACCGAATAATGACAGGCCTGAGCCGTAAAACGAGCAGGAAGAGAAACAAAATTGTGCACGGGCCCGGAGGTGAGGTCCTGCCCAAGCTCTCTCCGCCTTTGCGTTGCTTTTCCTCCGCCCATGATTTCATGCCCGCAACAAACACCGCAAAGCCCATTCATCCATTGTGCCATTGAAGAGTGTTACTGCTATTCTCTTGTTCACTATGCTTTCCTCAATGCGTCTCACATCCCGTCTGGGTCTGCGCCTGGTGCGCTGGAACTCCACTGCTGGTCCGACTCTGCCGCCTTTGATGACCGCATTGAGAACCGATCTCAAGACTGCCATGCGAGCTAAGGATACGCCTAGGTACTTCTAATTCTTACCTAAGACTCCGGGTGCTATTTGCGCGTCAATGCTGACGAATTACTTCCCAATTATTAGGTTGAATGTTCTTCGCGCTCTCATCTCCGAAACCAACAACGCCGCCAAAACCAACTCGCCCATCCAGACTGACCTCCAACTCTTGTCTTTGATCCGCAAGCGCATTTCTGCTTCGAAGGATGCTGCTAAAGAATTCGAGTCTGAGAACCGCCCCGACTTGAAGGAAACTGAGGATCGACACATTGCGATATTGGAAGAATATGGCGCCCAGGTGAAGACCATGAGCGTGGACGATATCAAGACGATCGTTGCTGAGGAACTTGCCAAGTTGAAGGAGACGGGCAAGAAGATCGAGGTTGGATTCCTACTCAAGTCTCTCTTTTCCCCTGGAGGAGCCCTGGATGGCAAGCCCGCCGAGAGATCCGAAGTTGCAAGAATTGCCAAAGAAGCGGTTTCTTCCGCTTAATGGCTGACACGAGAAAATGTATAATAACTACATGTATAATACGCATACCTAGACCAGTTGCCTGATTCCCCTCTCAATGAAATGCATACGACGGATGAGAAGTCAAGAATTGTCCATTAGGCGGGATTTCGGGTCGCCATAAAGTTGCATAGTAAAAACAAGCAGAACTCGCGTGCCTTCATGCTATAGGTCATGTAGGCGTACTGTGCCAAAAGAGAAAGACGAAAGTTCCCAGCGCCAGGTTGTATGCCATCCCAAGAATTACCGACCTTATTTATCCATTCCTATTTGCCCTCCCAGTAATGTTCCGAACTCCATATCCATTCATATCCAGCCGTCCATCGTACTTGCTCGGTGGTAACGCGCAAGTTTCGCGGTCATCTAAGAGCGAAGTAAAGTGATCCCTCCGAGTGTGGTCATGAATATACCGAGCCACAGCCAGTTATTCGGGTCACCAACTTTCTCCCTGCTGACCAAGTTCTTTATGCTGAAGCGACCTCCAGTATCCCCCACGACCTGGCGTTTACTCTTATTGGAGGAGGTTGGATTGAGCGTCTGCGTAGGTAACATCTGGGGCGGTTTGTATATAAGATACATTGGATGCATCGGCGATCCGTCGAAGTTCTTGACGTCAAGGCGTTGTACACCATGGTATGAGTCTACCGAAACAGAAAACGACTATACCTGTCAGTAGCTATTATATAGTTAATGGGGAGAACCCATGTACCTCAAAATGCTCAGTTTGGTTGTATCTGGTATAGGTCCCCGTAGAGGACTGACATGGATCTGATAAGAGCTGGCGTCCATCGACAGCGATCGGAGTCAGGTCCATCGATCCATCACTGTTTACAGTATAGGTACCGTGCTGCCATTGCATAATCCCCTTTGGGCAGGAAGGATCCTGGGCTATTTATTGATCATGACATGTCAGAATCGGGGAAATACACGCGATAGAGGATTCTGGGACTAACGGTTGGCAATGGCACGATAGTAGGCTTCTTCATAATGTCCATTGGCGTTGAACGAGTACGAGATACCAGTGAGATTGGGTTCGAGGAATTTATCATTAAACGGATCGTAGAAGCCCTGTAAACATCGAACGTTAAACGGTTAGCGTACAGGTAGAACTGGCCCATCGAAAGTGGTAAACAATCAACACGGCGCAAAACATACTGGACCTGTCACAACTTGGCGGGACTTGGTTGTCCATGTTCCTTCTAGATCCGATGCGCTGTGGCTGCTGGCCCCAACAGCAGTTAATAGAAGGCCAAATAAGAAGCACGTTGCCATCATGTTGTGATCATACCCACGAGAAGAGAGTCAATACAGAAGAAAGGGAGAGGCAGAGGGTAGAGAGCGAGAGGAATGCGTCGAAAGGCGCAACAACGCAGGCGGCCCTTGAAGGGTGGAGTACACAAGAGCTCCCCCCGGTACGTGCCACTGGCCCTGCCGATCAAACAAATGAACCGCCATGCAAATCATCCGCCAAAACATGTTCGCCTGCCAAGCCACGCCCGCTTCGGCTACTACCAGACTAACTAGGTGAAGCACCTTGGGCAGACCGGGTAGACAAACAGTGGTCGCTGGTCTGCGTACACCGCGTTCTCATCGTGCAAGCAAGGACCAAGATGATGGCTGGGTTGCAAGTCGCAAAGAGGGACCTTCGCCGGAGGATGCGGGATGCTCTCCAGCAGATCCCCGCCGACTCTATTGCCAATCAATGTCAGGGATCTCGATTCGCTTCTGCCCAATATGGTCGCGGCATGTGCTGACCTCCCACAGCCAGAATCGCTACGAATCAACTCCTCTCTCTCCAGGAATATCGGGATGCGAAGAGGATCGGGGTCTATCTGTCCATGCCAGCCGGCGAACTCTCTACAACGGCGATAGTGCAGGATGCCCTGGCCAATGGCAAAGAAGTCTTCGTACCTTACATACACAATTTCGAGTTGTCGTCACAGCCAAAGACATCAGTCATGGATATGTTGCTGCTGGAGTCGATGGATGAGTTCAGATCGCTCGAGCCGGACAAGTGGGGAATTCCATCGCTGTCGCAAGCAAGTGTGCTTAACAAGAGGAACTGCTTCGGGGGCAAGGGAGTCTCACCCCAGCCCGAAGATTCTACGCAGGGACCGTACGGGTTGGATTTGATTGTCATGCCAGGAATGGCGTTCGATGAGGGATTCAGAAGATTGGGCCATGGCAAGGGTTACTATGATCATTTCCTGACAAGGTACTCCAAAGGTCCCGAGAGCACAACAACGGCACCGAAACTGCCTCTACTAGGTAAGGCATAGTTGTTCCAGATGACAGCAGTCAACCCGAGCATATTCCATCACTAACCCCTCGTATAGTCGCGCTGGCTCTCAAAGAACAAGTGCTGGCTCCGACCGAAAAGATCCCAGTTGCGGATCACGACTGGCTAGTAGACGTCCTCATGGTCGGCGATGACCGGTGCCTCGTGCGCCAACGCTGATAGGATATCCAGAAAAGAAGCGAGCCCTTTCATGTCCATGTTTTCATCTAATGCGACAATAATGTGCAGATAATTGTACTCCAGCGAGAACCCGTAAAAAAAGTGTTTAGAAAATGCAAACGATATCGTATCACGGCACGAAGTCGGAGATGAATGATTAATTTTCCCTTTCCTGGCTTCCGAAATCCTTAAACGCCCCCGTTAAATTCACTGCACGGCCTGAATAAGAGACACGTTGTCGCCCTTGAGCAGTATTTGGCCTAGGTTTTTCAAGATTGTTATCAGCATTGCAGCACCAAAGGGGAGAACACAAAAGCTAAACTGCCGCATACCTAGAGGTCTCCGCTTCTCTTCCTCGGACTTTGTAGCCATGCGAACCTCCACTGCATCGTCAATGACAAGGTTCATGAACTCGTCAAAACCCTACACCAGTCGATTAGTCAAATCCCACGCAAACATGTCGCCAGAATCTATTTACCCTGATCTTTCCCTCTATGCGGAAAGCAAGCTGCTCGTAAAGCCAGATAGAGACTGTAGACCGTTGCTGAAGAAGCTTGAAGATGAAATGAATCGGCGCAAGCAGGGTCTTGCGAGCGGCTCCACCGCCTCCACGACCGGTCATTGTGATGGGTGGATGGAAGGAATGTGTAGGATATCAAGAGGCGAAGGCAGCGACAGGAGACCAACAGACGGGAATGCCGTTCGGTTGATCGAGAAAGAGACGCGTGGTGGTGGTTGTTAGGCGGGTGGTGCTGGGAGAGAAGGTCGAGAAAGATCGGGAAGGTGGTGAAGCAAGCTTCCATCGTTCTTGCCGCCTCGGGGACGATTGCGGCTCACCAACTTTTCCCTTTGGGTCGATCGTCACCACATCCCACCTCCACTAACCAGTCACTTACCCCCCGATCCCTCTCTCCGCCACTGTGCTGAAGGTTTTAGCGCTGATTCCATCGAGGTGGCTTGTTCTTTAATGTTTGTTTAATGACTGTTCATGATCGCACTGCATAGGTGTTGAGCCTCCCGGCCTGGCTGAACCCCTCTTCTCCCATTCCCAACTCGAACAATCCCAAAACATCCCACTCCTCGTCCAAGATGGCCAGCAAGGAGGGGACCGCAGGGCAGTCCTTTGGTGCTGTCCTCGCGGCAGTCACGACTATGTCAGGAAATGTCTCGCGATCGGAGAAAGAACACGCCCATGAGTTCCTGGAGAAGTTCCAGAAATCAGTCCGTTCATCCCTACCCCTCATTCTTCCTCCCCAGGGCCGATTGTTCCACGCCGCCCATGACATTGCATGCTAATCATGATTCGGCTTCTATCTAGATTGAAGCATGGACTATTACCCACGAAATGCTACAGTCCCCCGATGTCCCTGTCGAGGCCAAGTTGTTCGCAGCGACCACGTTGAAAGGAAAGGTGAAGCGATCCCATCACCTACATGACGCGGTACTGGCATCCCGTACTGACCGTCCCAGATTATCTTCGACCTCGACCAGCTACCCGCGGAATCGATACTCGCCCTCCGAGACTCCGTTCTGAACCTGCTTGTGGCTTATGCTGCAGGCCCTCGGCCGATCCAGACACAGCTTTGCGTCTGTCTGGCGAGCCTGGCCATCCAAATGCTGGACTGGAAGGACGTCCTACCCACAGTTGGCGCGGCTCTGGGTAGCAGCGCGGGGGATTGTGTGTTGGAGTTTCTCAAGATTCTCCCGGAAGAAGTGACCGAGGGTCGTAAAATCAATCTCAGTGTATGTTCGGCGGCATCAACACCTCACCTGTTTACACTCCGTTTCTACGCGATAGGCGACGACCTTTTATACCGCGACAAACGCGACTCTAACCTGCTGGCTTGACTTAGGAAGAGGACCTTGATTCCAGGACGAAAGAACTGTTGGAAGACAACGCCGAACAGGTCATGCACCTTCTGATTCAATATGCTCAGTCATCCCGTACGTGCCCAGCCGTCGAGTCAGCTTCATAATATGTTGATATGCTGATTATATTTCTGGTTTAGCTACTGCGTCTACTAACCCCCGTCTCCTCGACTGTATCACCTCATGGATGCGCGAGATCCCGGCGTCGAAGATTGTTGACTCACCCTTAATGGATGTGATTCTCAAGGCTCTTGATGACGACCGATCATTCGAGTCTGCGGTCGATAGCATGTGCACCTTGTATAGAGACACTCGGGAGGTCGATGATTCACTGCCCATCATCCAGGCCCTGTATCCGCGATTAATGTCCCTGCGCCCGAAGATTGCCGAATTCGCCGAAGCGGAAGACACAGATGCTTACAGGGGTATCACGAGGCTGTTTGCTGAAGCTGGCGAGGCCTGGGTGGTTCTGATGGCACGCCTGCCGACTGACTTCCGCGGGCTGGTCGAAGCGGTCCTAGAGTGTTGCGCTCGCGACTGGGAGCGGGACGCGATTTCCCTTACTTTCGTCTTCTGGTACGAGTTGAAGCAATATGTTACTTTGGAGCGATATGCGGATGCACGGACTGGCTTTAGTGATATCTTCTCTAGCCTCGTGGACATCATGGTCAAGCACCTCGAGTACCCGCGGCCGGAGGAGGGTGAGACGGACCTTTTCGGTGGCGATCGGGAGCAGGAAGAGAAATTTCGGCATTTCCGGCACGCTATGGGAGATGTGCTCAAGGATTGCTGTGCGGTCATTGGGGTCAATGAGTGCTTGACCAAGGCTTATCAGCTGATCCAACAATGGGTCTCCAAATATGCCTCTCAGTCCAGCGACGACCATGTTCCCAACTGGCAAGAGCTTGAAGCGCCCCTGTTTAGTTTGCGCGCCATGGGCCGTATGGTCGACCCTGAGGAGAATGTTGTCCTGACACAGGTCATTCCCCTCATCGTGCAGATTCCGAACCAAGAAAAAGTGCGATTCCAGGCCATCATGGCGTTAGCGCGTTACACCGAGTGGACTGCACAGCATCCCGAGACATTGGAGGCGCAACTAAACTATGTCATTTCCGGCTTCCAGCACAGCTCTCCGGAGGTGGTTCAGGCTGCAGCCTTGGCCTTCAAGTTCTTGGGCACGGACTGCCAGAAGTTGCTTGGAGGTCACATTGCCCAACTACACTCGTTTTACGAGTCGGTCCTTGACAAGCTGAAACCGGCCAGTCAGGAAGAGATAACCGAGGGTGTCGCGGCTGTGGTTGCAGTGCAGCCACTGGAGAAGATCTACGAGACGATGAAGTTGTTCTGTGACCCCATTATGGCACGCATCATGAACTTAGCGAACAACGCTAAGGATGAAGAGGGCCAGCGGGCTGTTGCTGGTAGGTATACTTCAAAATTAAAAGGCACTCTGCATACTAACTGCATGGTAGATCACCTTCAGTTGATTACGATCTTCATCCTGGTCGTGAACCCATACGTCTCACCCCGGGAAGAGAACCCCGCAGTCAAGTATTGCGGCGAAATCTTGCCAATCATGACGACAATCGTGATGAACTTTACCTCGTCCACGCCGATTTTAGAGCGCGTCTGCCGTTGCTGGAGAAACATGATTATTTCTTACCGCACGGCTATGACTCCGCTCCTACCCACGCTAGCGCAGAGTCTTGCAAGCGGATTCGAGGCATCACGAGAAGGATGCTTCCTGTGGGCCACTGACGCTGTCGTGCGCGAGTTCTCCGAGGGTGCTGAATTCGTTGATCCCTCCACCAGCCATGCTGTCTTCCAGTTTTACGAGCAGCAAGCGGTCGCATTCCTGCGGACCTTGAATGATCTGCCCCCCGAGAATCTCCCAGATGGTAGGTGCTCCCCCAGCTGGAAATTGGCTGCTCGTTGCGCCTCAAGCTAATCAGGTACAACCAGTTATCGAGGACTTCTATCGTTTGTCTTCCGATGCCGTCCGGTATTACCCCAAGGAGTGTGTCACTTCGTCGCTGTCCGTGCCGATCTTCTCCGCCGCACTCAGCGCTCTCACCCTCCAGCAGATTGACCCACTCATGGCCACCCTTCATTATTACCACGACCTCTTTAGCTTCGCTTTCGATAAGCCAACGGTATCCGAATTCACCACTTCAGATGGGAGCTCCTACACCAACCCGCCCGAAATCCGCGAGGCCGTCAAGCAGCTGATTGCGTCGCAAGGCCAGCTACTTACGCAGCATATCCTGACGGGTATGATGTTCTCGTTCCCGGGAGAGTGCTTCCCCGACGCATCCAGCGTGATGATGATGCTGTTCGAACTTATGCCCGAACAGGCAGGAACGTGGCTTCAGGCCACGCTGCAGATGCTTCCCGCCGGCACCATGAAGCCGGGTGAGGCGGAGAGGTTGCTGAAGGGCATCTTCGACAAGGTCCACTCGGGTGAGGTGCGGAAGATCCGGGTCCTTCTTCAAGGTATGGTGAAACTAGCATTTTCTCGCAAGCTTTACATTGGCTGACAAGCACGCATAGACTTCACCAACTCATACCGGCGACGGAACGTGGCACCTAGAGAAGGGCTGGGCCGGCTGGAGGCGACCCGGTTCCGGTTTAGCGGATAGATTGTACCATGGGAGAATGGAGGCCAGGACTGAGCAAGTCAGGAACCGCTCAGCGCAAAGGATGCTGGGAGAAAGATTCTCATCAGCTGCCGACGACGCTCAGCCCTTGGAAGGCGGCAATAGTCCTTGGAAGATTAGTGCACGTCATGCGACCCGGCCGAAGATCATCAAGCGCTCGCACGCGTTGAGAATCAAGTTAAAAATATTTGCCCAATCATGTATTCCTTTATGCCCTCCGTTCCCTTTCCCCTCCCTGCCGCGCCCACCGATTATCTCCCAGCATCACCCGTATACGACATGATGCGGTTGTTTCAAAATCCGAGGCACTCTTGCCTGAGGGAGGGCGATCCCGCGCAAGAGACCAGCGGGGTCCCTCCTGCGATTCGGAGGGTGGAGATTCAAGCCCGCTCGCATGATTTCTTGCTTGCCACTACTTTTACTCCCCCTGAACACCCGCTCTGTAAATCGAAAGTACTTTTTAAGTGTAGCAATTTAGACCAATGCTTCCCGGCAACCGCGGCCCTATGAGTATTCCAGTGCGTATCTCCGTATATCATGTCTTGGAAGTCATGCACAGTAGGATCCCAAACCTGTAAACCAGTATGCGTGTGGAGTAGCCTGTAAGATAGCAAACCTCAAGAGCCAATAACCTACCACCATGTCTCTAGCATACCTCACTACCAATATTACAATCATCATCATCGTCATATCATATGACATGCAGAGATTTTCAACCTGAGAACCGAAGTTTCCTTCACGAGAAGCCCCAGGATAGTACTAAAATAGGATACCCACATACTCACACACACACACATACGCACACACAAGGACACACGCGCGCTGCCGCGCTACAATGTTTAGTAACCGGCAACTCCACCCAGCACCTAAGCAACTGATATACACCAGCACTAAACAAATATATACTAGTCTAGTCTATCATAGTAGAAGAGGGAGGGAGACCCATACCGTAGATCCTTATGTTCAGCAAACACAAACAAGTCCAAAACACACATGAAAATATGAAAAGAAGCATGAATAGCCGAGCAATGATCGCCCAACCCATCCGAACCCATTGTTTCAGAACTGTTATCAATCAGCCAATGGATATCCACAATCCACCACTAAACTAAGTAAACTAAACACCCGGAGATAGAAAAATTTGCTGTTGCTATTTCAGCTGATCATCTCGGGCGAAGAGATAAAAAAATAAGAAGATTTTTCTTGGTTCGGTGGTTGTTTTTGGCCCCATGTTGGGGGTTGGGTGGCCAGTTATATTGCGGTATCCACCCTGGTTGAGATTTGAGATGGCGGGGTTCGGTGTTGATCTGAATATGGGTCCTTGATTGATT